TGGTTTCTTGATCAAGCGTGGCTGTTTTCGGAGGCTTCTTGGGTTCGTGTCCCCTCCCAAAACATCCCCTAAATGTCTGACCTAAGCAAAAAGGGTAGGGATTGGACTTGAGGCTGGTGTGTGCTGGGAGGGGGGGGGGGTGAGTCATCTCACTCACTCTTGGGCCCTATCATGTCTACAGGCATTGGTCGATCTGCAGCTTCACACAGGAGTCCAGGTTAGAATCCTCGAGAGTTGGAAGGAACTTGGAGACTTTGCCAGTATGTTCACCAAAGCTGTAGCTGAAGCACCATTCAAGTGAGTGAGCGTATGGGGTTTATTTTATAAGCTAACTTGCTTTTGGAGATATCCTTACGAGAGGCCTCATTTTCATGAGTTTTGGAGGGGAACAGTAATCATACAGCCTTACTTCAGTGCTACACAGTATAGTACATTCTTCACTGCAAAAGAGGGGGTGTGTTCTTAACTCAAGTTAGCTAACTCAGGTTAAAATAGCAGTGAAGACACAATGACGCTGCTTTAACTTGGGTAAGCAGCATGAGTTAAAGCTTATTAGGGCAGCCTGGGGTTGAACCTGAGTTGCAGTGTCTTCGTTGCTACTTTAACCTGAGTTAAGAATACACTTTTTTCACAGTGAGGACACATCCTCAAAGACCAGGCAGTGCTGAGCAGCCATTGATGAGGTGCCTTAAAGCAGACAGTGTTAGTGCCTCTTGCATTGAAACAGGTGGTGCATTGGGCTACAACCGCTAGAGCTTGTTTCTCCTAGTCAGTGTTGGAGTCTGACTTGAGAGAGGGTGTCAAGCAAAGAGCTTCTTTTCAATCTGTGTTTGGAGGGGAAAGGGGATGTAAATAAGGAAGGCTCTGCCCTCTAGCTGGATTCAATCGCTACAGCACCAGCTTTTATGTTTCACCCTGAAAATATTTGTGATTTTGAGAGATGTCACTGAGGCAGAATCCCCATTTAGCAGATGATCATAAGAAGACACTGTTGTAATTGTTCTCACAGGTCATTCCCCAGCAGTGTAAAGTTGAACCCCATACTAGCACACCCATCACAGCAGCTTCACTGTCTGTCTCACAATAACATCCATGAAAACACACACACCTTTAAAATGCTTTTATACGCTGCTTATAATGTCTGTTTGACAGCTTGAATTCTGTTTCCCCAGATTGCGCGTGCATTGGTTTGCAGGGTTGCTCATAGCGCTGGGCCATTGGTATCAAAAATAAAAAGCAGAGATTACTTGGGCCAGTTTCTGCCCTATACCCAGTTCCTTTTGTGCTGCCAAAAGGGGGCCTGAGGCTGCTCTTGCTAAGAGGAATCCCTTGGTAGCACAAAGCCAGCATAGCTGCCTCTGTGCCCTTTGTTATAGCCAGCCCTGCTTCTAATGTGCCACGCTCTGGTTATTTTCCACCCCAATAAAAGGCTCTTGCTAACACTTGTAGGGAAGGGAAGTCAGATTTTGCATATCTACCTTGATATTATTGATCTCTCTAATTCTGTGCTGGATGTGAGGCTTCCCTGCTCTGTAGCCATTGCATCTCTCAACAGATGATAACTGGAGAGAGAAACAAAAGATAAGTTTTGTGATTGTCTTGTTCTCCTTCCCTTCTGTGCCCTCTGCAGGCAAGAGCGAGAGAAGACCGGCTTCTCCTTCTACCTGGAGAGTGAATGGTGTAGGGGGGTGAAGGTGGACCGCTCAGGGAAGGGACTCTCGCAGGTTTGGAAGAGGCAGATCCAACAGTTCAACCGGGTCAGTCTGGAGATGGCCAGCGCCATTGTGGCTGCATACCCTTCTCCTCTGCTTCTGGATCAGGTAAGGGTGCCCTACGGTTATTGATACAATTCTGCACACACAGCTACTAATGCAATGAGGGGAAGAATGTTACTTGTGTTAAATAACTTCATAGAGATTAATTCTGAGATATTGATCCCATGTCAGCTTAGAATACTTTGTTTGAAACATCCAGTCCCCTCATGGCAGTGCATGGGGTAATTGTGGCAAACACTTTGTACTTCCATAGCGCCTTTCATTGGTGGCTCTCAAAACACTTCTGAAGGTGGCCCTTATCCCCACTTTACAGAAGAGAAAAGGGAGGCACAGATTGTATCCCAGCCCCAGCACTCCAATGAGTTAGTGACAGAGCCAGGAATAAAACTCCAGTCTCCTAATTCCTCTGCTTTAAACATTAGATTGCATGTGAGGGAGATGTTGACAACAAGGAGAGCTGTTTTTATAGGACACCAGAGTAATCTATGGAAAAACTGGGACTGCCTGATAGGCTCTTTTCCTGTTCACTCCCACCCCCCACAAATATTTGAAATAATTAGTGGTAGTTCATAAGGAACCTTCCCTTGTGCTTCTGGCAGGAGGTACCTTGAGCCTGAATGTTTCAGATGTGAGGCACGTCTGCGTCTGAAAATTAATCTGGAATAAAGCAGGGTGTGAATTTAAAGCAGACTGATTATTCCTGATTAATTGAATGTGTGGATGCTTTGATTCAAGACTTAGTTTGGCTTAATCCACTTCTAAAGTGAATAAAACTAATTTGGAATAAGAGCATCTACATTTGAGTTAATCAAGAGTAACTATTCTGGATTAACTCCCGGTGTAGACAAGCCGCTCACAGGATTTGTTGAAACTCCTCAACAGTGGTGGCTGATACAGTTTGAGTCGAAGGCTTTAAATGCAAGTGATGGAAGACATGACTTCTCTGCATCCACTGACTCTGGCAGAAAGTCACAGACTGGCGTTCAGAGCAGAATGAAGCTATTGAGAGGAGATCTCTGTCTTACTAAAGTTCATCCCCTCCCTTGCTTGAATAAGTGTTCCCCTTGCAGAGAGGGAAAATGAATCTCCAGTCCTGCATAAGTAAAGCAGCACTGGCTGTTCTAGATGTATCCAGGCTGCACATTTCTTTGTGTTGCAGTTGTGTTCCTGGCACAGTCCTAACAGTGCACATAGTCTGTCCGTATTGAATTCCTGCTGACAGTGGGTGCTGCCTCTTGGCTACCAAGTGAGGTCTGGTGGGAGAACTGATAAAAGGAGTGTAAAACATGAAAGGCTGAAGCAGTGAAGGAACCCTTCCCTCTGTCCTTTGTCCACAAAGGAATGTGACAATGGATGAAATCACCATTCCTTTGTCCTGTTTTTAGGCCTATCGTAGATGCCTTTCAGAGCGGGAGCAACAGAACATGCTCGCTGACATACCTGTGCGCCGTGGCAATGGTGTAACGGCCACGTCACGGCGGATTGGACCAGAACTCTCCAAACGGATTTACCTGCAGATGACCTCTCACCATCCTGATCTCTCTCTGGATGTCACTGGCTAGCCCAAGAGAACATGGATTTTACTGGTTGCCTGGTTAAACGTATTCATCTCCCTTCTAGGAGGAAAAGTGTATTGGGTCTTGCTTGTAAAGACTTAACATCTCCTGTTTCTGAAGCCTGCAACGGAGGATGCCTGAAATGCTCTACAGGCGGTGTTTTCAGAAGGCACTGAAACGTTTTCCTTGGCCAAGGTGCTGTGATACTGCCCTCAAGTGCAGTAGTGAGAGTTTCTTTCTGCCTGTGATAAATTGCATTTTCTGTCCTGGGAATAAATCTTCTCTACTCTTCCAAGTAGGTGGTTTGCTCTAGGACCTATTAGGATTGCTGTATAGGGCCAGCTCTCCTCTACATGAGCCAAGCTATTTCCAGGATCACCCTTTAAGGAAATCAGCTGCTACTATTTGTCCTTTCCCACACCAGTGAGTTTTAAAAAACAAAACCGAACGCTAGTACTGGAGAGACATTGGCTCACTCATAGCTGTCTAATAACACTTGCTTGGAAACAGCACAACCCTGTAGTCTATTAGAATGGGAGAATTTTATCTCTGGTATAGAAAGAAAAAATCCCCCATTTCCCCCCCCCCCCCATCAATGAAAGATGTTTTGTACCCCACTCAGGTACAAAGTTTAGAACTGCACTGACTCAAAGGCTCCAGCTTGATCTATGCGGGTGTGAAGTGTGATTTATGGATTAGTGAATGAGTGGAGCTCTAACGGGCTTTATTTGCAGCAAGAGATGCTTTAAGCTAGGGATCATCTGCCTTTGGATATGTGCACTTTACTTCCCCTAAAGCCATCAGTACTCAAATGCATGTGTGAGGGCAGCTGAGGTCTTTCAGTATTCATGTAACAAAGCAATTATTGAAATAAGTACTAAGTCAAATGCTATGCAATGTATATAACTTATTGCACTAGTGACACTAGAGAGGAGAAAATATCCATTTTTCTCTAATACATCCATGCTGAGATCATCACTACAGCACTTTTGCATTGCTGTTAAGGCCTTTGGGATAGTCCTACTGTTAGGCTGTGATAAATTTTAATATTATTTCCAGTGCATCTGCTGACTGCTACAGGTCTTTCTCCCATGAGGCAAACTTCACTAGAACAGTTGTCAGGTAGAACACACTCCTCTACTAGCAACAACCTGTGCCTATAAGGGGGGTACTGATGGTTCATAAACAGTAGTTGCAGCACCTCAGAATAACATGCTATTCAGATAAAAAGCAAGCACTTGTCAGAATTATGGTGGTAGTGTAGGGTACAACTGTCAGGTACTCCATGTCTGAACTTGCCTCTGTGGGTTAAATAGTGTGCCACTGGAACAGCCTGCAGCGTATCTTCCTTTTAGCTGAAACCCCCTCACCACTCTGTTACAATGGAGCCAGGGAGCAGTACCATTACCTTTTGTCCAGTTTGATTAAACAGCATAGGTGAAGGCTTATCTTCCTTTCTGTGCTGAACTGTTGGGAATTAAACACTGGGAATGTGTGAATACAGTAATCCCGCACACTGCTGTACAGCAACAGAACAGCTGTGCTGAATCACAGGGGCACAGAACACCAGAATTTGTAGGCTGTTACACTTTAAACACAAAGGCAGTACAAGATCCTATACTGCTAAGGCCCTAGCAGACAAGGTGACCTACGGAAACAAGAGGATGCTAATGTGAAGCTGGCCAGTTTGAGACACTTTATGGAGAATGGCCTCTACTATATGATGGGTTCTGCCCAGGTGTCTTAATGATACTGTATCCTAGTGTCACCCACTAACTAATACTGTCCCTAACATAGATTGGAGGTGAAAGATTCTATTTTGATGGGGCTAGCTGTAGCACCGCTGTCATCTTTCAACAATCCTTCTGGAGCCTGCTCCAGCTCTCACTCGGGGAAAACCAGTCTGCATGGCTGCCAAGTCTTTCCTCGGAATAGCTGTTTTGACACTAGCTTGCTCAGGTTAGTGGTCGCACTATGGCGTAATAGTAAAATATGTTAGCATGCAAGCTCCTAATCAAAACTGAGGCACTGTACAAATGTGTGTAAACAATGTAAATATCCAGCTCAGAATCAGACACCAAACTGCTGCGAAAACTGTTATATTGACAAAGCTGACAATTCTTATTTCAATAGCATTTCATCACTCCGCCACCCTGATGTATCAATACACAGCCATCCTACATACTTCTAATGGGTCCTGGAATGGGCTTATGTATATTTCTATACCATACAGCCACACCACCACTGATTTTACCAAAGGTTTGCATGAACCTTCCTGCAAGTGTCAGCAAGAAGATGGATATACTCCACCTCCTTACAGGGCCATAGTTACCCAGGTGGGTTATAGCTTTCCTCACTCCTCTGTTGACTGGCAACCTCCTGTTCCATGCGTGAGGGAGAGTCTTAACATGTTCTAATTTAATGTTAGCAAACAACAGGAGTTGCAGACCAGCTGAGACACAAGCACAACAAAAATGATCTAAGCAGTAGTTCTGCTCTGTTCTGAATGGACCAGCAAATCCAGTGCTGACTGATTAAAGGCAGTTTCACCGGAACACAATTCCATAGGAATTCTGGCTGTGTCGATGGTGGCAAGAGATGCTGACAATGCGCATGTCCAGGTAGCAGCATCATTGCTGCGAGTTCTGATGTAATACATTTTGCACAATTTTGTGGCTTTTCAGAGCAGTTACCACATCCTCATAGAGAGCGTTCACGCTGATGCACAGAGACTGGCGCTGCAGCTCCGTCACCCGACAAACAGCCACAGTACTAAGGGCACACAGAAATATCAAGAGCAGCAGCTTCAACAATGCCTGGAACCAGGAGCGCCTGTGCCGGGGCAGCTGAGATGGATGAGAAACTGATGAAGGCTCTGTAATGATATAAATTGCGGGAAAGAGAATGGGAAGACCAAGTCATTTATCAAGAGAAATCTGTATCCCTATAACATCCAACATGCAGATCTGAGTCCCTTATGGTAAAATGCTATGCCACATGTTTAGCTCTCTCATAACAAGAAAACAATTACACCATTTCAGATTTCCCTAGCTTTCCTCAGTTCTAAACATATGCACAGGCCCCATCCACAAAGGATGAAACAATACATATTTCTTTTCAAGAAGCAGATGTTTTTGATCTCTCAGAAAACAACCATAATGCCCACATCCAGATAAGCAAACAGCTATGAAGATGACGACATGCATTAAACCCATGTTAAGCCTTTTTTGCAGGTATTTTTAAGATACATTCAATTTTATGAGGCGGAGGAAATATTCCTTAGCAGCAATTGCAGAACTTTGAATCATGCAGATAAGTAATCAAGAGCTCCATCCGTTGCAAATATGTTGAAGTTCTGCTTGTTCTTCCAGAGTTATTCATATGTTGCAAGATTCTGAACTAGCTCTACCACTGTGGTCTGATTCCCCCACCCCTTGACCATATTCAACATGAGGGACTACTTCCTAACATCTTGCTACATAATCTGGCACTATTAAAAGCATGGTGGATCTGGAGGTAGATACACTTCAATGGTAAGGTTCTTGCTCATTCTCTTCCACCTGTTTCTCCTACGCTGTGCCAAAATATAGAGGAGAACAGTTACACTACTCTATAGAATACACCTGCTCCTTGGTGGATATTTCTCAATTGAATCTACAATTGACTTACTTGGGATCTCACTGCTTTCTTTTTTTGTTTGTGTTTCCATCTCTTGCCTTGCCGCTCTTAGTGCATCATACTCCCGTCTCCTGCGTTCCTTCTCTTCTGCCTTCTCTCGCCTCCGCAGTTCCCTCTCCTGAGCCTCCCTTGCTCGCTGCTCTGCTTCACGCTTCTTCTCCATTGCTGAGGACCAACACAAACATTTTTTCCTTCTGTAATAACAGCACTCCACCTTCCCCCTTGCTGCATGACTGCTCTTCCCCACTGGGAAGGTAAAGCAATGAAATAACTGCCCCATTTTATTGTCCAGAAGTGTTGGATGCACTCCCCGTCTTCCTCCTTCAGATCTATTCTCTCCTGGAAGCAGTCTTATGTGAGTCAGTAAAAAAATCTTACACACTCCTCATTCCTTACACTTGGTCAATAGCATCTCTCATCCAGAGATCTCAGCACTTTACAAGCATTAACTGAGCCCCACAATACCACATATGAGGCACTGTCCCCATGTTACAGATGCATAAAATGGAAGCACAAAGGTTAAAGGGACACTGTCAACTTATATTTTATTAACGTGATTAATTTTAAAGAAATTCTAGTTTGATAGAGGGCTCTTTATATACTATTCCCCGAGTAGTAGTAATTTTTTAAAAAGAATTAAAAAACTAAGGGTTCTTCTGCCCCCATTCATATAAGAGTCTGTTTCACAAACGAGAAACTGACCCTGCACTGAGTATTGTCAAATGCACAAAATCTATTGAAATAAATGTTTGTCACTAACTTTTGAACTATAGTAATCTTCAGTATTAGAGTTTTCAGACAAATGTGATTTTTCAGTTTGTTAATGTTCCTTTAAGGGTTCATTTACATTCAAAGTTTGGACCCATAATTCATCAATGGTAACAGCATTCGTGCAAGCACTTTGTGGAAAGGCCTCATGCCTTTTTAGCACTGTTGAGGTAAAACAACTGAACCTTCGCTACACTAGCACTTCTACTTGTGGTGAATTAAAGCTCTGAACTTTGTCAGTGTAGGCGAGACCTATGTGACATGTTCACAGTGAATAACAGTAAGACTCCCGTTCTCTTGCTCCAGCACCCAAGCCACACTACCTTTTCAAGAGGGGAAGAAAAAGAAGGTGCTTATGGAAAATGATCTCCTTTAAGAAGAGAGGCAGTTCTCCAGTACGGTGTATCAGCATGGAAATCATTTTCCAAGATATACTGAAGTAAAATCAGCCTCTAGGTTTTAGTGGGCCTCCCAAGACATATCAGGAACCCACAACCCATCAGGCCTTTTTGCGGTTATCCATCTGATCCTCCAGAGGCCCATGCCTCTCCTCTAGAGTGGACCAGGCCCCTCTCCCCTTTCACAGGGTTAAGCAGTTGGCTATCGAGGGATCTCTTCCTCCACCTCCAATTCAAAACAAATATTCTGTAGGTCCTCGCTGCCAAGATATTTGGAACAGTCTTTGTTAGCTGCCCTGGAAGGGCAGAATCAGCTGGTTTGGATATGTAATCAATGGACCCAGGAAAGAGCCTAGAGCGGTAAGTGGGTGGGGGGTGTCATGTGCCTACCTCGCTCTGCTTGTAGCCTTCGTTGCCTCTCTCGATCCTGCTCAGACTGGATAGCTTTCATATGCTGCAGCACCTTCAAGATCCAAGACAACAGCATGAGATCTATGCAGCAGATTCATTGCATTAGCCTCTTAATATGGAAACAGCATTAGAATGCAGCCATAAGTGGGAGAAGGAATGCATTCCTCTGGGATTGACTTCTAATTCTATGTAGCAGAATACAAGTGAGTCCCAAGTGGCTCTTACAGCGATGCCACAACCTCCACATTGAAGGTGTGCATCGTCAGTACCAAAAAAACCAAACCCCTGTCATTCAGTGCTGGGACAAGCTAATATTTTAGTTTATTTTAACAAGAGGAGACACCATACTGATTATATGACTTCAACATGAAAATGAATAATACAAACCACCACTTAATTTAAGTGAGGCTGCCACAGACTCCAGGAGTCCTTGCTTAGGTCCAACTTGCCTCACAGTGCACAGGGCTTTGACCATGAAAGTGAGGTAACAGACACGTTAATGATGAAGAAAGCTGTGACAATAGACACTGATTTGACTTTTCTACACAAGAGATGAATCCCAACCCGCTGATGTCATCTACCAGGCTACATACACGTCTGATAAAGGAATGTCTAATAAAATCTGCATTGGGCTAGATCTTCAGCTAGTGCAATTTGGTGCAGCTCCACTGAGACTTCCATGATTTTGCTGAGTGTTTGGAGCGCTGTCTCAACGTTCGTTCCAAAGCTGCTGCTTCAGGGTCAGACAAAATCTCTCCATTAAAAAAGAAATCCTCCTTGCAGCCTGTGCGCTGGTACTAGGTGTGCGTCCAGTGTTCCAGGATCACATGGTTTTTCTAAGGCTGAAAAAGGGGATGTGATCCCTGCCTCAGAAATAGCAGAGAATTGCAGCAGCAGCAGCATAGGCTCCAACCTGCTCTAGCCCTGCTCCGTGGCTCCCAGCAGTAACTCTTCACACAAGCCTACAGATTGCCAGCACTTCTTCAGAAGCTCAAAGCTGGATATGGATTGTTTCTCTCAGTACCATCTTTTTCCTAGTGATCAACATTTAAATGCTCACTCTTAATGCCACCTCGGGCTGAGCACCCTGCTTAGCTCACTTCCTAGATCAACGGTCAGGGCACCAGTGAAATCATTGCAGGATTAATATTGGCTTTGAATGGGATTAGCCTCTCCCTCCTGACCGATACCTTAAAAATTGCCATGTTGAGAGCCTCCAAGCAAGAGGAGGAGAAAGAACGGCCATGGAAGCCATGTAGGAAAACAAGAATAAAATGCAGAGCAATTTCCTTACTCTGATAGCGGCCTGTTTACATTGCTTCTCATCCAGGCAGTCTCCTGCCACTTTGGCCAGGATAGGATCCAAGGGGTTGTCCTTCAGATCCAACCACTTCAGATTCTGCAGGAAGGAAACACAAATGGGACCAGGCTAGAGTAGGCACACATCAGTACAATGTTAAAGAAAGAGCACAAACAAGGCTGTGTTTATTCTAGAGAGTTCAAAGCAGAAACAAAGAGCTATTTAGTTGTCACGTGAATGAAAGAGAGATGGGAGACAAGTGCAGATTTCAGGCAGGAGTTTAATTGTAACAAAACTGTGGAAGTTTTGTCAAGGGCAGTGCTGCAGATCCCAGTTACATTTTGGAGCTCATAGTGGTCTGCTGGCAGAGAGACTGACATTTTACTAGAGAAATCAACTTCAGAAGAATCATGAGACTCTGGGCTACACTCCAAGGCCTTACGTAAACTGCCTAGCAGAGGGGTTTTACCTTGAGCTGTGCAAAACTGACTGGTAGCATGGCTAATCGGTTGTTCAGGAGATCCAGGTGCTGCAAGTTAACCAGGCGACCAAAGTCTGAGGGGAGTTGCTGAAGCTGATTTTTACTCAGATCAAGTTTCACCAGGTGGGTCAAACTGCAGAAGTCCGACTGGAACCCAAACAGGAGTGAAGAAGTTTACAAGCTTGTCAATCATCTTTACTAAGGAATAACAGATATATCAGCTAGCGTATGCTGCACACTGCAGGGAGCTGAGGAAGATCTACATGGACTTGGACTCATTACAAAGCTGCTTGTGTGATGGAGGAAAGTTACTCTCTTCCCCCTCTACCCTCGGACTGTGAAGTAGGGAACAGTGGATACTCTCCTAAACAGGGCTACACATAGCAATATAATTACAATGAAAATAAGACATACAGTGGTGCTTTTGGTATCCAGCTGGTAGAGCACTTTGGAATGGAAACTGCTATAATCTTCACCGAGTACACTCTCATTTTCTACAAGAAAGCACAGCTAATATGCTATGCCAGCCAACCTCAGTAAAAGTCAATCACCTATACTGACCCCTCTGTAATGGTGGCAGTGTCACTCATCCGCCCAAGAAGCTAAGAGAACTGCTAGTTACCACACTCCCGCCTGGTCCTCCCATGCAGGAGGATTGTACCTTTCGAAAGGTATTTCCAAACAGACCCCTCCCTCCTCCACAAAGCTTCTCTCTCATCTTACCGGTAGGGAAGTGAGGTTGTTACAGGACAAATCCAATATGGTAGCCTTTGGAAGGGCAGCCTGAAAAAGAGCCAAGGAATCAAATTAAACCTATATCAAAGCTATAGTACTTTAATACATTTGATACCCTGCTGTTTACGTTTCTGTTTCAGTCTTTGGGATTTCTCCCATACATGGAGTTTTAAGAACTCCCCAGTTGCTACAATTCGAGTTACCTTTGAGACTCTTACATCTCACTCAAATTCAGGGGCTTATGAACACTGCTCCCCCTGAAACAGGTTCTTCACCCAAAGCATCAGTTTAACCCACAATCCACCAGATTTGTTAAACCAGTTGGGAACCTTCTCTTCTTCAGGTCACTTCAACCACCAAAAGTCAGGACGACAGGAAGAGTTCAAGGTTGTGTATCCTTCTCTTCAGACCAAGAGAAACAGTGTGTGTGCCTTCCAAACACACAACGGGCAACACCTCGAGCTGATAAAAACCACAAAACTTACACAGGGCCCAAGGCAATCACCCCACCTCCCCACCCCCAGGACTAGTACATTTACAAAGACTAGGGTAATCTCAGGGGCTCCCCTGCAATACCTTACATCCCCCAGGAAAGACTGATACTGACCAGTTCTTTGACTGGTACCTCATTCAGGTCACTCAGGCTCAAGTCCAATTCATTGCCATCAAGTTTGTCTTTCAGGTTTACTCCTTTTCCTCCAGCTTTTGCCATGATCCTATTGAGAGAGAAATTCAGAGTCTCAAGTGGCTCATTCTTGGAACGGGAAAAAGACAAGGAATGGAGATGGGGGGAGCACCAATACATTTTAACAAGCCTCCAGATTTTCTTTTACTCTGTATCTACCTAACAAGTACAGCAGAAGTAATGACAGCTGTCATGCCCTGCAAGTACGCCTCAACTGTAACCTTTAAGGACCTCCTTTAGAGGCCAGGGATATTTTGGTCCCCCTGGGCCATTCAGATCTTGCTGGTCCAGGTGCCAGTGTTTACCAGTTCAGGCTAACTGAGGATGTGGTTTTTGCAACCTGCCTACTGGGAACTGGACTGACAGCCCACCAACCCATTTAGCACAGGCTACTGAACAGCCCACCTAATGGGAAAACTATTGGTCGTTCCTCTTTACCAGTTCAAGCTGGATATGGACTGGCAACCTCAACGTGAGACGCCTGATAGAGATCCCTAGTGTAGGTCACAGCGTGCACCTTCAAGGCTTTTCTGACTGAGCAAGAATTTTATTTTCTCAGAAATAATCCAGCCTCCTCCAATGCCAGCCTAGGTAGGTGTTCATGGCAGCAGGGCCTCTAGGCACAGTGAGAACATTGTGAAGTTTCTGTTTGTCCCACTGTCTGAAGGTTGAAGTTTTGGGGGGATGGGAGTGGGCTATCCCCAGGGTGTTTGTGAAGAGAGCTCTCTGTTTGAAGGGGAGACGTACAAGAGGGGTAACATGATCCCGAGTGACTGGATAGAGGGGAAGGAAGCAATACTGAACAGTGCATTGGCCCAGCTCCCTGACCCAGCACATCCTGCTGCCACTTTGCTGTTTTTATTCCCTTGCTTCTGGTAAAGGGGGCGGGGAGCACAAAGGCAGGAGCAGGGCGCATCCCCAGGCGCCTCAAGGTGGGGGGCTTTACAGACACTGCATAGAGAGAAGATGACCCCAGTACCCATCAACCCCATCCCCTGTGGGGGCGCCCCAGCCCAGCCAGGGCTTCCCCCCAAGGGGCCAAGAGGGAGCCTCAGACTGAAAGGCCTCCCCAACACTCCCCTGCCACCCCCGCACATGGATCCCCCCATCCCAATACCCCTGACCGCCCCCGCACATGGATCCCCCCATCCCAATACCCCCGGCCGCCCCCGCACATGGATCCCCCCCATCCCAATACCCCCGGCCGCCCCCGCACATGGATCCCCCCATCCCAATACCCCCCGGCCGCCCCCGCACAGGGACCCCCCCATCCCAATACCCCCCGGCCGCCCCCGCACATGGATCCCCCCCATCCCAATACCCCCCGGCCGCCCCCGCACAGGGGACCCCC